TGTGTTGTATTTGGAATTGGGTTCTTCTTTGATAGGTGGTTGAATTTAGAAATCAGGTTAGCTTTACATTTGACTGACAGTGAATCAGCAGAAGAAGTCATGTTGTCTACGTGATTCCAATCAGAAGGTGACATTTTTTGTGTTAACATTAAATTAGCTTGTAGGAGAGTCCTGTCTCCTACAAGCTGTCCTCGAGACAACCTGATCCCTTCACCTGATGAAGGCCGCTTGTGTTGTGGCCGAAACGTCGTGATTTTTGTTGTTTTACTTTTTACCTACGTGACTTTACCGAATAGAACCAAAGAGTATGGATCCTTGCAGTCACGAAAGCTTTAATTCTAGAATAGTCTGTGGGTCTCTACTGTGTGAGTAGTCTATGGGTCTCTACTGTGTGAGTAGTCTATGGGTCTCTACTGTGTGAGTAGTCTGTGGGTCTCTACTGTGTGAGTAGTCTGTGGGTCTCTACTGTGTGAGTATTCTATGGGTCTCTACTGTGTGAGTAGTCTGTGGGTCTCTACTATGTGAGTAGTATATGGGTTCATCTTCTTTGGTTCTTTCGGTAAAGTCACGTAGAATGAGAATAAAATAATAAAATAACACAAAAAATTCTCACGACGTTTCGGCCACAACGCAAGCGGCCGTCTTCAGGTGAAAGGAACAGACCTGTCGGAACGACAGTCTATGGGTCTCTACTGTGCGAGTAGTCTATGGGTCTCTACTGTGTGAGTAGTCTGTAGGTCTCTGTGTGTGAGTAGTCTGTGGGTCTCTGTGTGAGTAGTCTGTAGGTCTCTGTGTGAGTAGTCTGTGGGTCTCTGTGTGAGTAGTCTGTGGGTCTCTACTGTGTGAGTAGTCTTTGGGTCTCTACTGTGTGAGTAGTCTGTGGGTCTCTACTGTGTGAGTAGTCTGTGGGTCTCTACTGTGTGAGCAGTCTATGGGTCTCTGTGTGAGTAGTCTATGGGTCTTTGTGTGTGTGAGTAGTCTATGGGTCTCTACTGTGTGAGTAGTCTATGGGTCTCTACTGCGTGAATAGTCTATGGGTATCTGTGTGAGTAGTGTGTGGGTCTCTGTGTGAGTAGTCTGTGGGTCTCTACCGTGTGAGTAGTCTATGGGTCTCTACTGTGTGAGTAGTCTATGGGTCTCTACTGTTTGAGTAGTCTATGGGTCTCTGTGTGAGTAGTCTGTGGGTCTCTGTGTTAGTAGTCTGTGGGTTTCTGTGCGAGTAGTATGTGGGTCTCTGTGTGAGTAGACTATGTAGGTCTCTGTGTGTGTGAGGAGTCTATGGGTCTCTGTGTGTGAGTAGTCTGTGGATCTCTATGTGTGTGAGTAGTCTATGGGTCTCTACTGTGTGAGTAGTCTGTAGGTCTCTACTATGTGAGTAGTCTGTGGGTCTCTGTGTGTGAGTCGTAACAACTACAGGGGCATCTCACTCCTCAGTGTGCCGGGAAAGGTCCTGGCAAGGATTATTCAACATCGCCTTGCCAGGCACGTTGAGGAGAGGCTTGCGGTGCCCCAATGCGGTATCAAGAAAGGGTGGTCCTGCACAGATGCCATATTTTCTTTCCGTCTGCTACGGCAGAGGTGTAGGGAATTCCAACAAGACCTACATCTCTGCTTTATTGACCTGGTCAAGGCCTATGATACCATCAGTAGGCCTGGGCTCTGGGTTGTTCTTTGTGTTTTTGGAGTCCCTGACCCCCTGTTCACGATCATTAAGGACCTTCATGATGGTGAGCGGGCCCAGGTAAAACAACGTGGCCGGGAGTCGGAGCCATTCCCTGTACACCTTGGGTTGCGACAGGGATGTCCTCTGGCTCCTACATTATTTAACATCTATTTCGACCACGTCGTTGGTGAAGCCTTCAATAGCTGTACCGGAGGAATTTCCATCTGGTACAGATATAATGGGAGGCTGATCGAGGCCCGGGTGCGGTCAAGGGATGGCGCTCAACCATGTTACGTATGCCGATGATCTGGTAATTGCTGCTCACTCAGAGGAGGAGTTGGAGGTGCTGCTGCTGAACCTGGAGCTTACCACTAAGAGGAGGGGCCTTACCATCAGCCCCAGCAAAACTAAGCACCTGCCTGGGTATTTTGTACCATCGGACACTCCACACCCACAACTCCCAATTGGTGATAGGGCAGTTGTGGAGAAAGTGGAGAGTTTCCCATACCTGGTCAGTGTGCTTATGACCGGCTCCGGTTTAACAGCAGAGGTCTCACTCCGAATCAGTCGAGCGGCATCATCTTTTCATCGGTTGCGTAACGCTGTGTGGAAGCTATCTGGTCTGTCGCTCCGCCCGAAGCTTCGGGTCTTCTCGGCCACGGTCATTCCCTCACTTCTCTACGCTTGCGAAACGTGGACCCCCTTAATGGAACATCTTAGCCGATTAGAAACATTTAGGCTGACCTGCCTACGATCCATCCTGGGTGTAACTAGGCTGGATTGTGTGAGCTCACAAATCCTTGAAAGATCTGGACAAAGTCCCATCGGTGAGCTCCTCCGGCAGGCAAGGCTGCATTGGCTGGGCCATGTAGCCCGCATGCCCAGCCACCGCATGCCCAAACAGCTTTTCTTCGGCCGGATCGAGGGGGTGAAACGGGCGCGGCACGGGCTAGAGAAGAGACGGAGTGATGTGGTACAGGAGGACGTGGAGCTGAGTGGACTTGCCGATGACTGGTACCAGCGGTGTCAAGATCGGCCTCTGTGGAGGAGGCTCGTGAAGGATGCTACTGGGCAGTTGGAGGCAGTCGCCCTCCAACAACGACAGAGGGCGGAGGAGCGACGCTCACAACAACAAGCGGAGCGCCCGGTGGCTAAAGCACAGCAGGTTGGCACAGTAGGGGGCGCAGGTGGTGCATCAGCCAGTCATCTCAGTCAGTCGACCTGTGGCACCTGGGTCTGCCCCGTGACCTCCTGCCAGCGGGCGTTCGACACTTCACGTGGCCTCAGAGTGCACATAGCCTCGCACAAGCGTCGTGGTGACGTCACCGCCACTTAGTGGCGAATGGCGGTTGTTGTTGTTGTGTTGTCTGTGGGTCTCTGTGAGTCGTCTTTGGAGCTGGACTCCACCCCCCCCAATGACTCCACCCACATTCACTCCACCCCCTGACGCCACCTTTCACTGACTCCACCCCCACTGACTCCACCCCCACTGACTCCACCCCCACTGACTCAACCCCCACTGACGCCACCCCCCCCCCCCACTGACTCTACCCCTCAACTGACTCCACCCCCCCCCCCACCACAGACTCCACCCTCCCACAGACTCCACCCCCCCCCACTGACTCCACCCTCCCACTGACTCCACCCCCACAGACTCCACCCCTCCCACCACAGACTCCACCCCCCCCTCCCCACTGACTCCACCCTCCCACTGACTCCACCCCCACAGACTCCACCCCCCCCACCACAGACTCCACCCCCCCCCCCCACAGACTCCACCCCCCCCCACAGACTCCTCCCCCCTCCACTGACTCCACCCTCCCACAGACTCCACCCCCCCACAGACTCCACCCCCATCGGCACGTAAAAAGAAAACTGATTGGGCAACGTCGTTATCGCTTTAATTCGAGTGCCGGATCGGCCGTCGCCTTTACAGCCACGACAACAACAACAACAACAACAACGTCGCTTGCGGGTATCCGCTACACCACCGGCGGGGCTACCCTGCCTGGGGGAGCTTTGTCTTTGTCTGTGTTGTCCGAAGAGCTGCCATCTGTACAAAGCGGTGGCTGTGACTACACCCTCGGACGCGCGTCGCATGGCCTGTGGCTAGGAGATGTTGACCAACTCGCCTGGTACGCGGGAGGTCGTGGGTTCGATCCCGACCCTGACGACGCCCGCTTCTAGGTTAACTTCCTGCTGCAGGGGGCGGGGCCACGTGAACTTCCTGCTGCAGGAGGCGGGGCGACTTGAACTTCCTGCTGCAGGAGGCAGGGCTACATGAACTTCCTGCTGCAGGAGGCGGGGCCACGTGAACTTCCTGCTGCAGGAGGCGGGGCTACGTGAACTTCCTGCTGCAGGAGGCGGGGCTATGTGAACTTCCTGCTGCAGGAGGCGGGGCTACGTGAACTTCCTGCTGCAGGGGGCGGGGCCACGTGAACTTCCTGCTGCAGGAGGCGGGGCGACTTGAACTTCCTGCTGCAGGAGGCAGGGCTACGTGAACTTCCTGCTGCAGGAGGCGGGGCCACGTGAACTTCCTGCTGCAGGAGGCGGGGCTACGTGAACTTCCTGCTGCAGGAGGCGGGGCTATGTGAACTTCCTGCTGCAGGAGGCGGGGCTACGTGAACTGTCTGCTGTAGGAGGCGGAGCTACGTGAACTTCCTGCTGACTGGGGGCGGGGCTACGCGAACTTCCTGCTGCAGGGGGCGGGGCTACGTGAACTTCCTGCTGCAGGGGGCGGGGCTACGTGAACTTCCTGCTGCAGGGGGCGGGGCTACGTGAACTTCCTGCTGCAGGGGGCGGGGCTACGTGAACTTCCTGCTGCAGGAGGTGGGGCTACGTGAACTTCCTGCTGCAGGGGGCGGGGCTACGTGAACTTCCTGCTGCAGGGGGCGGGGCTACGTGAACTTCCTGCTGCAGGAGGCGGGGCTACGTGAACTTCCTGCTGCAGGAGGTGGGGCTATGTGAACTTCCTGCTGCAGAAGGCGGGGCTACGTGAACTGTCTGCTGTAGGAGGCGGGGCTACGTGAACTTCCTGCTGTAAGAGGCGGGGCTACGTGAACTTCCTGCTGAATGGGGGGCGGGGCCACGTGAACTTCCTGCTGCAGGGGGCGGGGCGACTTGAACTTCCTGCTGCAGGAGGCGGGGCTATGTGAACTTCCTGCTGCAGGAGGCGGGGCTACGTGAACTTCCTGCTGCAGGAGGCGGGGCTACGTGAACTTCCTGCTGAATGGGGGGCGAGGCTACGTGAACTTCCTGCTGCAGGGGGCGGGGCTACGTGAACTTCCTGCTGCAGGAGGCGGGGCTACGTGAACTTCCTGCTGTAGGAGGCGGGGCTACGTGAACTTCCTGCTGAATGGGGGGCGAGGCTACGTGAACTTCCTGCTGCAGGAGGCGGGGCCACGTTAACTTCCTGCTGCAGGAGGCGGGGCTATGTGAACTTCCTGCTGCAGGGGGCAGGGCTACGTGAACTTCCTGCTGCAGGAGGCGGGGCCACGTGAACTTCCTGGTGCAGGAGGCGGGGCTACGTGAACTTCCTGCTGTAGGAGGCGGGGCTACGTGAACTTCCTGCTGCAGGGGGCGGGGCTACGTGAACTTCCTGCTGTAGGAGGCGGGGCTACAGGAGGCGGGGCTATATAAACTGTTTGTTTCAGGGGGCGGGGCTACGTGAACTTCCTGCTGCAGGGGGCGGGGCTACGTGAACTTCCTGCTGCAGGGGGCGGGGCTACGTGAACTTCCTGCTGAATGGGGGGCGGGGCTACGTGAACTTCCTCCTGTAGGAGGCGGGGCTACGTGAACTTCCTGCTGCAGGGGGCGGGGCTACGTGAACTTCCTCCTGTAGGAGGCGGGGCTACGTGAACTTCCTGCTTCAGGGGGCGGGGCTACGTGAACTTCCTCCTGTAGGAGGCGGGGCTACGTGAACTTCCTGCTGCAGGGGGCGGGGCTACGTGAACTTCCTGCTGCAGAAGGCGGGGCTACGTGAACTTCCTGCTGTAGGAGGCGGGGCTACGTGAACTTCCTGCTGCAGGGGGCGGGGCTACGTGAACTTCCTCCTGTAGGAGGCGGGGCTACGTGAACTTCCTGCTGTAGGAGGCGGGGCTACGTGAACTTCCTGCTGAATGGGGGGCGGGGCTACGTGAACTTCCTGCTGCATGGGGCGGGGCTACGTGAACTTACTACTGCAGGGGGCGGGGCTACGTGAACTTCCTGCTGCAGAGGGCGGGGCTACAGGAGGTGGGGCTATAGAAACTGTCTGCTGCAGGGGGCGGGGCTACGTGAACTTCCTGCTGTAGGAGGCGGTGACTGCGGCCTGCTTGCTGCTGCCCTGCTGCCTCCCGTTGACCACCAGCGACGCGGGGCTGGAGACGCGCACACACGGGAACGCGAGCACCTGCACACACGGGGGGGCAGTGGTGGGGGGCAGTGGTGGTGGGGGGCAGTGGTGGTGGGGGGCAGTGGTGGGGAGGGGGCAGTGAGGGGGGGGCCAGTGGGTGGGGTGTAGTTGTTATGAGTTGTTGTTGTTGTTGTTGTGACCACGCTTGTTGACGTGAATGAAGAGCCCTGGGCGTGGGTGACGGGGCCGTCACCGCCGGAACCGCAGAAAAGGCAAAGGTCCCCCGTGTAGCCTCTAACACGCTGCTGGGGCAAGTGCTGTTAGCGACCAGCGCCTCTATACACACAAAGGCAAAGGTCCCCCGTGTAGCCTCTATCAGGGATGTAGGGGCAAGTGCTGTGAGTAGCAGCAGCAGTGCCCTATAGACACACAGACAAAGGTCCCCCGTGTAGCCTCTAGCAGGGCTGTAGGGGCAAGTGCTGTGAGTAGCAGCAGCAGTGCCTATAGACACACAGACAAAGTCCCCCATGTAGCCCACACAGATTGTAGGGGCAAGTGCTCTTAGCAGCGAGTAGCAGCGCCTACGAAGGCTACCGGCACTGTGGCACAAACAGCGGGGATGGGTGGCCAGCACCACCACGCCCGGCCGCCAGGTAACTCATTTGAGGCCGAGTCGACCTAGGGGAGGCCCCAGGACCGGTTCAGATAATCATCACCGGTGGTGGCCGTGAGCGGGAATCGAACCCGGGACACCAGGTTCGTAGCCGAGGCGTAGCGCTAACCGCTACACCCACCACTCCCCATACCGTAACAAAGACCCCACGTACGTGTGTGTGTGTACGTGTGTGTGTGTACGTGTGTGTGTGTCTGTGTGTGTGTACCTGTGTGTACGTGTGTGTGCGTACGTGTGTGTGTACGTGTGTGTGTGTGTGTACGTAGGGTCCGTCCGGAAAAACAACCCCCTACCTCCTTGCAGTGCCAGACGGGCAACTCTGTCGTGGACAGTGCTGTGGGGGGAGGGCCAATTCCGATTGGCTGGTAATGTACCACTAAACCACGACTGAAATATATAACTAATAAGCTTGTGCCGGAGGCCCCGGGGGGACAGGCCTCTATGACGTCTCCTGGCCAAACCCCAAATGGCGGAGCCAGGAGATTGAATCTCTACCCTCGGGGCTCCTCCAGAAACAACGAAAAGCTACTTCGTGTGGCCACATGGAATGTTCGAACGCTCACTGCGGAGGAGAGGCTGCCACTCCTCTGTCGGGAGCTGGACGGGTACCGCCTGGATCTCTGTGGCATTCAGGAGGTCCGGTGGACCGGTTCTGGCTCCTGCCACCATGAGGGGTGGACAGTCCTCTACTCTGGGCAGCAGACTGCCAAACAACAGGGAGTGGCTGTGAGGTGTGGGAAGCTGTAAGCCCCAGGCTACTTTGGGCTCTCCTTCCCATCAACCGGAGGCAAAGAGTGGTGATCGTGGTTACTTATGCCCCCACCGAAGATGAACATCCGTGGAGGGATGCAGGCAAAGCCGATGAGTCAGATGCCTTCTATGACCTCCTGTCACAGGTGCTGGCTAAAGTGGCCCCTCGGGATAGTCATCTTGTTGGGTGACTTCAATGCCCGAGTTGGTCATGATGCTGGCACCTGGTCTGGAGTGATTGGAAAGCATGGGCCAGATCAGCTCAATAACAATGGTAGGAGGCTGCTAGATTTTTGTGCAGCCCATGGGCTTGTAATTATCAACACGCTGTTCCGGCATCGGCGCATCCACACAACATCATGGATGCATGCCGGGTCCAAGCAAGAACATCTGCTGGACTACATAGTGACGGACCAGCAAATGCGAGCCCATGTCCTTGACACCAGGACCTACCGTGGAGCTGATCTGCCCTCTGACCATCGACTAGTCATCTGTAAGATGCGCCTGCCATTCTTCCACTCCTGGGTGTACACCACCCAGGACCCCATTCCAACATAAAGTGGCCTGGTCTCAATTATCTGATGAAAGTTGCAAGCGAGAATTTCATCATCGCTTGTGGCTGGGATTGGCATCGTCCCCGACTCCTCCTGATGTCGAGGGTAAATGGACGAGGTTTAGGACTGTAACTCATGCAGCTGCAATGGCTGCTTTGGGTACGCGGTCCAGACCTCCCCAGAGACCCTGGCTGACAGAGGAGGTGTTCAGGATGGTTGAGAAAAAGCGACAGGCCCACTTGTCATCGGCTACAGAATCCCACGTCAGAGAATGAGGAGGCTTACCGCAGCCTTCGCTCGCAGGTTCGGAGAGCCGTGAGGCGCTGCAAGGATGGGTGGTGGTCGCGGGTTGCTGAGGAGATGGAGTCTGCCTCAGTGGCCTGTGATCACAAATCTCTATTTAACTCCATCAAAAAAGTAACCTGCAGCGCCACACCTATTACCATCATTAGGGGAAAAAACGGTGATCCAATCTCCGACCCCCAGGAACAGGTTCGCAGATTTGCTGAGCATTTCTGTGAGGTCCTGGGGGAGGGAAAATCCCACAGCCAGGAAAACAACGTGGCACAAGGTGAGGATGACCCTGCTGAGGCTGCGGTGCCTCAAATATTGGAAGAAGTCACCCCCTGTGAGTGGCTGGCTGAGGTGCCATCTGCTGAGGAAGTATTGAAGGCGATCCGGAGTCTGAGACCAGGAAAGGCAGCGGGCAGAGATGATCTCCCAAGCGAAATGCTGAGGGAGGGTGGCGTTTGTGCACAGACTGCCCTATATGACATCATAACAACAGTCTGGACCACTGGATGGGTTCCGCAGGATTGGAAGGATGCCCTGGTGGTCCCCCTTTTTAAGAAGGGGGACCGCACAGACTGTAACAACTACAGGGGCATCTCACTCCTCAGTGTGCCGGGAAAGGTCCTGGCAAGGATTATTCAGCATCGCCTTGCCAGGCACGCTGAGGAGAGGCTTGCGGAGCCCCAATGCGGTTTCAGGAAAGGGCGGTCCTGCACAGATGCCATATTTTCTGTCCGTCTCCTACAGCAGAGATGCAGGGAATTCCAACAAGACCTACATCTCTGCTTTATTGACCTGGTCAAGGCCTATGATACCATCAGTAGGCCTGGGCTCTGGGTCGTTCTTCGTGCTTTTGGAGTACCTGACCCTCTGCTCACGATCATTAAGGACCTTCATGATGGTGAGCGGGCCCGGGTAAAACTACGTGGCCGGGAGTCAGAGCCATTCCCTGCACACCTTGGGGTGCGACAGGGATGTCCTCTGGCTCCCACATTATTTAACATCTATTTTGACCACGTAGTTCGTGAAGCCTTCAATAGCTGTACTGGGGGAATCTCCATATGGTACAGATATAATGGGAGGCTAATCGATGCCCGGGTGCGGTCAAGGGATGGCTCCCTATTGCTCAACCACGTTATGTATGCTGATGATTTGGTAATAGCTGCTTAGTCAGAGGAGGAGTTGGAGACGCTGCTGCTGAGACTGGAGCGTGCCACTAAGAGGTGGGGCCTTACTATCAGCCCCACCAAAACTAAGCACCTGCCTGGGTATTTTGTACCATCGGACACTCCACCCCCACAACTCCCAATCGGTGATGGGGCAGTTGTGGAGAGAGTGGAGAGTTTCCCATACCTGGGCAGTGTGCTTATGACTGGCTCCAGTTTAACAGCAGAGGTCTCACTCCGAATCAGTCGAGCGGCAATATCTTTTCATCGGTTGCGTAACGCTGTGTGGAAGCTACCTGGTCTGTCGCTCCGCACTAAGCTTCAGGTCTTCTCAGCCACGGTCATTCCCTCCCTTCTCTACGCTTGCGAAACGTGGACCCCCCAAATGGAACATCTTCGCCGGTTAGAAACATTTAGGCTGGCCTGCCTACGATCCATCCTGGGTTTAACCAGACTGGATTGTGTGAGGAGCTCACAAATCCTTGAAAAATCTGGGCAGGGTCCCATCGGTGAGCTCCTCCGGCAGGCAAGGCTGCGATGGCTGGGTCATGTAGCCCGCATGCCCAGCCACCGCATGCCGAAACAGCTTTTGTTTGGCCGGATTGAGGGGGCTAAGCGGGCGCGGCACGGGCTAGAGAAGAGATGGAGTGATGTGGTACAGGAGGACGTGGAGCTGAGTGGACTTGCCGATGACTGGTACCAGCGGTGTCAAGATCGGCTTCTGTGGAGGAGGCTCGTGAAGGATGCTACTGGGCAGTTGGAGGCAGTCGCCCTCCAACAACAACGGAGGGCGGAGGAGCGACGCTCACAACAGCGAGCGGAGCGCCGGGTGGCTAAAGCACAGCAGGTTGGCACAGTAGGGGGCACAGGTGGTGCATCAGCCAGTCATCTCAGTCAGTCGACCCGTGGCACCTGGGTCTGCCCCGTGACCTCCTGCCAGCGGGCGTTCGACACTTCACGTGGCCTCAGGGTGCACATAGCCTGGCACAAGCGTCGTGGTGACGTCACCGCCACTTAGTGGCGAATGGCGGTTGTTGTTGTTGTTGTGTGTGTACGTGTGTGTATGTATGTGTGTACGTGTGTGTGTGTCTGTGTGTGTGTATGTGTGTGTGTGGGTGTGTATGTGTGTACGTGCGTGTGTGTCTGTGTGTGTATGTGTGGGTGTGTATGTGTGTGTACGTGTGTGTGTCTGTGTGTATGTGTGTGTACGTGTGTGTGTCTGTGTGTGTGTACGTGTGTGTATGTGTGTATGTGTGTGTCTGTGTGTGTCTGTGTGTGTACGTGTGTGTGTCTGTGTGTCTGTGTGTATGTGTGTGTACGTGTGTGTGTCTGTGTGTCTGTGTGTATGTGTGTATGTACGTGTGTACGTGTGTGTTTGTCGCTGCTCGTGGCTGCTCCCGCACTCACCCCCGGCCCCCCCCCACACTCCCCCACCACGTCCCCCCCCTGCCCCCCCTGCCCCCCACCTCCTGCCCATCGTGGACGTGGTGCGTGCGCAGTGAGGGCGAGGGCACCGCCACCGAGTCCCCGATGAGAACTCCCCAGCCGGACACAAAGTTGTAGACGGACACCGCACAGCACGAGCCCTGTGAGTCCAGCAGGCCAAACACGCTGCACACACACACACAGACACACAAAGATAAAAAACAAAGATCCCCCATATAGCCTTAACAGACTGTAGGGGCAAGTGCTGTTAGCGAGCACCTATGAAGGCCGGAACGGTACACGAGGGGGTGGGTGGCCAGCACCACGCCCGACCGCCTTTGTCTCCCTAGTGGCGATGTTTGCACACCGCACCAGGTACTCATTTGAGGCTGAGTCGACCTAGGGGAGGCCCGGGACCGGTTCAGATAATCGTCACTGGTGTTGGCCGTGAGCGGGAATCGAACCCGGGTCGCCAGGTTCATAACGCAGCGCGCTAACCGCTACACTATCGCACACACACACACGTACACACACACACAAGTACATACACACACATACACACACGTACACACACAGACACACACACACATACATACACACACACGGAAACGCATACATACACACACGTACACACACACACAGACACACAAGTACATACATACACACACGTACACACACACACACACACACGCACACATACGCATACAAACATACACACACACATACATACACACACACATACATACACACACGCACACACACGTACACACACACATACATACACGTACACACACAAGTACATACACACACATACACACGTACACACACAGACACACACATACATACACACACACAGAAACGCATACATACACACACGTACACACACACACAGACACACAAGTACATACATACACACACGTACACACACACACACGCACACATACGCATGCAAACATACACACACACATACATACACACACGCACACACACGTACACACACACATACATACACGTACACACACAAGTACATACACACACACACATACACAGACACACACATACACGTACACACAGACACACAAGTACATACATACACACACGTACACACACGTACACACACATATACACACACACATACGCACACATACACACACACATACGCACAAACACACGCACACACACACGCACACACACACGCACAGACACACACAGACACACACACAGACAACAACCGCCATTCGCCACTAAGTGGCGGTGACGTCACTACGACGCTTGTGCCAAGCCATGTGCACCTTGAGGCCACGTAAAGTGTCGAACGCCCGCTGGCAGGAGGTCACTGGGCAGACCCAGGTGCCACGGGTCGACTGACTGAGATGACTGGCTGGTGCACCACCTGTGCCCCCTACTGTGCCAACCTGCTGTACTTTATCCATCTGGCGCTCCGCTCGTTGTTGTGAGCGTCGCTCCTCCGCCTTCCATTGTTGTTGGAGGGCGACTGCCTCCAACTGCCCAATAGTGTCCTTCACGAGCCTCCTCCACAGAGGCCGATCTTGACGCCGCTGGTACCAGTCATCGGCAAGTCCACTCAGCTCCACGTCCTCCTGTACCACATCACTCCATCTCTTCTCTAGCCCGTGCCGTGCCCGTTTAGCCCCCTCGATCCGGCCGAACAAAAGCTGTTTCGGCATGCGGTGGCTGGGCATGCGGGCTACATGACCCAGCCATCACAGCCTTCCCCGCCGGAGGAGCTCACCGATGGGACCTTGCCCAGATCTTTCAAGGATTTGTGAGCTCCTCACACAATCCAGTCTGGTTAAACCCAGGATGGATCGTGGGCAGGCCAGCCTAAATGTTTCTAACCAGCGAAGATGATCCATTAAGGGGGTCCACGTTTCGCAAGCATAGAGAAGGGAGGAAATGACCGTGGCCGAGAAGACCTGAAGCTTAGTGCGGAGCGACAGACCAGGTAGCTTCCACACAGCGTTATGCAACAGCTATTGAAGGCTTCACGAACTACGTGGTCAAAATAGATGTTAAATAATGTGGGAGCCAGAGGACATCCCTGTCACACCCCAAGGTGTATAGGGAATAGCTCTGACTCCCGGCCACGTAGTTTTACCCGGGCCGGCTCACCATCATGAAGGTCCTTAATGATCGTGAGCAGAGGGTCAGGTACTCCAAAAGCACGAAGAACAAGCCAGAGCCCAGGCCTACTGATGGTATCATAGGCCTTGACCAGATCAATAAAGCAGAGATGTAGGTCTTGTTGGAATTCCCTACACCTCTGCTGTAGCAGACGGACAGAAAATATGGCATCTGTGCAGGACTGCCCTTTCCTGAAACCGCATTGGGGCTCCGCAAGCGTCTCCTCAGCGTGCCTGGCAAGGCGATGTTGAATAATCCTTGCCAGGACCTTTCCCGGCACACTGAGGAGTGAGATGCCCCTGTAGTTTTTACAGTCTGTGCGGTCCCCCTTCTTAAAAAGGGGGACCACAATGGCATCCTTCCAATCCTGCGGAACCCGTCCAGTGGTCCAGACTGTTATGATGTCATATAGGGCAGTCTGTGCACAAACGCCACCCTCCCTCAGCATTTCACTTGGGAGATCATCTCTGCCCGCTGCCTTTCCTGGTCTCAGACTCCGGATCGCCTTCAGTACATCCTCAAAAGATGGCACCTCAGCCAGCCACTCACAGGGGGTGACTTCTTCCAATATTTGAGGCACCGCAGCCTCAGCAGGATCATCCTCACTTTGTGCCACGATGTTTTCCTGGCTGAGGGATTTTCCCTCCCCCAGGACCTCACAGAAATGCTCAGCAAATCTGAAAACCTGTTCCTGGGGGTCGGAGATTGGATCACCATTTTTTCCCCTAATGATGGTAATAGGTGTGGCGCTGCAGGTTACTTTTTTGATGGAGTTAAATAGAGATTTGTGATCCCGGGCCACTGAGGCAGACTCCATCTCCTCAGCAACCCGCGACCACCACCCATCCTTGCAGCGCCTCACGGCTCTCCGAACCTCCGAGCGAAGGCTGCGGTAAGCCTCCTTATTCTCTGACGTGGGATTCTGTAGCCGATGACAGTGGGCCTGTCGCTTTTTCTCAACCATCCTGAACACCTCCTCCGTCAGCCAGGGTTTCTGGGGAGGTCTGGACCGCATACCCAAAGCAGCCATTGCAGCTGCATAAGTCACAGTACTAAACCTCGCCCATTTACCCTCGACATCAGGAGGAGTGGGGGACGATGCCAATCCCAGCCGCAAGCGATGATGAAATTCTCGCTTGCAACTTTCATCAGATAACACACGTACACACACACATACACACACACGTACACATGTACAGACACCCGTACACACACACACACACGTACACACACACGTACATGTACACACACACGTACACACATGTACACACACGCACGTACACACACGTACACACACACACACGTACGCATACACACACACGTACACATGTACATACGTACACACACGTACACACACACGCACACACACACGTACACACAGGGGCGGAGCCAGGATTTCAGGCCGGGGTGACATTCAACAAATGTTAATTTCAAGAATGATTTAGAGAGTCAGGCTGTTGAACTAGACGCCATCGGCTGGCGACACGCTCTGACAATGCAGTTGCACGGATTTCGATTTAAAGCTCTCGTGACTGCAAGGATTCATCTTCTTTGGTTCTCTCGGTGAAGAAGGCCGCTTGTGTTGTGGCCCGAAACGTCGCGAGAATTTCATTGCGTTGTTTTATTTTATCAACTTATTATTTTATTCTCATTCTACGTGGTGGTGACTTTACCGAAAGAACCAAAGAAGATGAAGACAGTTGCACGGATTCCGCCAGACCGAGCGTCGTACGCTTACACGCAGAATGTCACCCGAGTCACCCCTCCCCCCGGCTCCGCCCCCGCGTACACACACACACGCACGTACACACACACACACACGTACACACGCACACACACACACGTACACACAAAGATAAAAGACAAAGATCCCCCATATAGCCTTAACAGACTATAGGGGCAAGTGCTGTTAGCGAGCAGCACCTATGAAGGCCGGAACGGTACACGAGGGGGTGGGTGGCCAGCACCACGCCCGACCGCCTTTGTCTCCCTAGTGGCAATGTTTACACACCGCACCAGGTAACTCATTTTTAGGCCGAGTCGACCTAGGGGAGGCCCGGGACCGGTTCAGATAATCGTCACTGTTGGTGTTGGCCGTGAGCGGGAATCGAACCCGGGTCGCCAGGTTCATAGCGCAGCGTAGCGCTAACCGCTACACTACCGCTCCCCTACACGTACACACACACACACGTACACACACCATCACCCATCCCCCCCCACCCACACCCACAACGGCAGGCTGTGCTCCGTGGTGACGCTGAACAGCACCCTGCCCAGCAGCACGGCGCCAGCGTTGGCGCCCTCGCTCAGCTCGGCCAGCGACCGCGGGGACAGCGGCGCCGGCGCCGCAGCCGCCCGGCCGCGTGGCCCCTCCGGCCCTTCGGCACCGCCGCCGCCGCCGCCGCCGCTTCCGGCCGTGGGCTGGGGGCCGCCTCCAGCGGCGTAGGGGCCGAGGTCGGCGTCGCGTAGCCCCTTCATGAAGGCCTGCAGCTTCTTAGCCTTCACCTTGCCCTGACGCACGGACACACGGATAAGACACACACAGACACACAGTCACACACACAGACACACACACACACAGACACACACACAGACACACAGACAGTCACACACACACAGACACACACACACACAGACAGTCACACACACACACACACAGACACACACACAGACACACACACACACGGGCCACACGGATAAGACACACATAGACAGTCACACACACAGACACACAGACAGTCAGTCACACACACTGACACACACACACGGGCAGACACACAGACACACACAGACAGTCACACAGACACACACACGGACACAGAGACACACAGACAGTCACACAGACACACAGACAGACACACACACAGACAGTCACACACACACACACAGTCACACAGACAGACACACGGAAACAGAGACACACAGATAGACACACGGGCAGACACACACACAGACAGTCACACACACAGACACACACACACACACAGTCACACACACAGACACACACACAGACACACAGGTAGACACACAAACAGACAGACACACACACAGACAGACACACACACAGACACACACACATAGACACAGACAGACACACGGACACACACAGACACACAGACACACACAGACACACAGACACACACACAGACACACGGGCAGACACACGGGCAGACACACAGACAGACACACAGACACACGGACACAGACACACAGACATACACAGACACAGATAACGGGTTGACAGGTATGTAGTATCGTCAGTTTAACACGTAAAGCTTTCGCGACCAATATTATTCAATGGGTGAGATCGCGTTATTTATAAATGTGTCGTAACCCTCCACCACCCGACATGGCCAAACAGTAACAAAATGTGTTACATTTACAAAAGACAAAATAGTTCACTGCTTTAGCCCGATGATGCTGGATGTAATTACCAGCGAAACGTCGTACTACTCAAACTTGTAAATGTTGTTGATTCACTCTTCAACACGCGGGTGGGCTAAAGTAGTGAACTACCTCTACCCACCCTCCGTTCTCCACCCAGCCCCTCCCCTACCCACGCAGCCCCTCCCCTACCCACCCAGCCCCTCCCCTACCCACCCAGCCCCTCCCCTACCCACCCACCCAGCCCCTCCCCACCCAGCCCCACCCTCCCCACCCAGCCCCTCCCCTACCCACCCAGCCCCTCCCCTACCCACCCAGCCCCTCCCCTACCCACCCAGCCCCTCCCCTACCCACCCAGCCCCTCCCCTACCCACCCAGCCCCTCCCCTACCCACCCAGCCCCTCCCAGCCCCACCCAGCCCCACCCTCCCCTCCCCTCCCCACCCCCCTCCGGCCCCTCCCTCCCCTACCCACCCAGCCCCACTCAGCCCCTCCCCACCCAGCCCCTCCCAGCCCCTCCCCCCTCTCCACCCAGCCCCTCCCAGCCCCTCCCAGCCCCACCCTCCCCACCGGCCCCTCCCCCTCCTACCCCCCACCTTGCTAGCGACGAGCGCCGAGAGTCTTCGCAGGAAGTGGAGGAGCTCGGAACGGCGCTGGGCCGGCTCCGTCCACGTGGGCTCCAGCGCAGAGGCCCTCGCAAAGCCGTCGAGGGCCTCGGCGAACAGCTCCCGGTACTGCAGCAGCTACGCACGCGTCCAGAGGGTGGTGGTGTGTCACTGTGTGTGTCAGTGTGTCACTGTGTGTGTGTCACTGTGTGTGTGTCACTGTGTGTGTCACTGTGTGTCAGTGTGTGTGTGTCACTCACAGTGAGGCAGAGTCACCTGTCACTGTGTGTGTGTCACTCACAGTGAGGCAGAGCCACCTGTCACTGTGTGTGTGTCACTCACAGTGAGGCAGATCCAGGTGTCACTGTGTGTCAGTGTGTGTGTCACTCACAGTGAGGCAGATCCAGGTGTCACTGTGTGTGTCACTGTGTGTGTGTGTCACTGTGTGTCACTCACAGTGAGGCAGAGCCACCTGTCATTGTGTGTCAGTGTGTGTGTGTCACTCACAGTGAGGCAGAGCCACCTGTCACTGTGTGTGTCAGTGTGTGTGTCACTGTGTGTGTGTGTCACTGTGTGTCACTGTGTGTCACTCACAGTGAGGCAGAGCCACCTGTCACTGTGTGTGTCAGTGTGTGTGTCACTCACAGTGAGGCAGAGCCACCTGTCACTGTGTGTCAGTGTGTGTCACTCACAGTGAGGCAGAGCCACGTGTCACTGTGTGTGTCAGTGTGTGTGTCACTCACAGTGAGGCAGAGCCACCTGTCACTGTGTGTCAGTGTGTGTGTCACTGTGTGTGTCACTGTGTGTCAGTGTGTGTGTCACTCACAGTGAGGCAGAGCTGTGTGTCACTGTGTGTGTCAGTGTGTGTCACTCACAGTGAGGCAGAGCTGTGTGTCACTGTGTGTGTCAGTGTGTGTGTCACTCAGTGAGGCAGATCCAGGTGTCACTGTGTGTGGCACTGTGTGTCAGTGTGTGTGTGTCACTCACAGTGAGGCAGAGCCACGTGTCACTGTGTGTGTGTCACTCACAGGCTGTATTCGTCTGTAATAAGGTAGGGCACTGATAAGGGGTTGACACGTATAGTGTAGTGTATAGTAGTGTATAGTGTAGTGTGTAGTGTAGTGTATAGTGTAGTTTATAGTAGTGTAGTGTATAGTGAAGTGTATAGTGTAGTGTATAGTAGTCGTGTGTAGTGTATAGTAGTGTAGTGTATAGTAGTGTAGTGTATAGTAGTGTAGTGTATAGTGTAGTGTATAGGATGAACGTTGAGACAAGACACGGATGCACGGCACTCGCGAGGGGTTGACGGGCAGAGAATCACCGAGCGAGGCACCCCAAGGACACTCACCTCTCCACCCCGAGGACACTCACCTCTCCACCCCGAGGACACTCACCTCTCCACCCCAAGGACACTCACCTCTCCACCCCGAGGACACTCACCTCTCCACCCCAAGGAAACTCACCTCTCCACCCCGAGGACACTCACCTCTCCACCCCGAGGACACTCACCTCTCCACCCCAAGGACACTCACCTCTCCACCCCGAGGACACTCACCTCTCCACCCCGAGGACACTCACCTCTCCACCCCAAGGACACTCACCTCTCCACCCCGAGGACACTCACCTCTCCACCCCGAGGACACTCACCTCTCCACCCCGAGGACACTCACCTCTCCACCCCGAGGACACTCACCTCTCCACCCCGAGGACACTCACCTCTCCACCCCGAGGACACTCACCTCTTACACCCCGAGGACACTCACCTCTCCACCCCGAGGACACTCACCTCTCCACCCCAAGGACACTCACCTCTCCACCCCGAGGACACTCACCTCTCCACCCCAAGGACACTCACCTCTCCACCCCGAGGACACTCACCTCTCCACCCCGAGGACACTCACCTCTCCACCCCGAGGACACTCACCTCTCCACCCCAAGGACACTCACCTCTCCACCCCGAGGACACTCACCTCTCCACCCCGAGGACACTCACCTCTCCACCCCAAGGACACTCACCTCTCCACCCCAAGGACACTCACCTCTCCACCCCAAGGACACTCACCTCTCCACCCTCACCCCAACCCTCACCCACCCACCACCACCGCTCACCGTCGCTCTGTTCAGGTGCAGGTCCGCGTTACTCCCCGCCGTGGTGTCGACTTTCTCCTGCAGAGGCAGAGACGGAGACAGCCCCCCAAAGCCCCCCGACGACTCCGTTAAGCCGCCGAGGACGACCGGGGCCACGGCCCGGCCGCCTTTGTCTCTCCCCGACACCCGCTACACCGCCCCGCCCAGCACCGATGTTTAAACGCCGCCCCGCGTGCTCATCCCGGGCTGAGTTTGCCGCCGGTGGGCGGGCCTAGGAACCGCTCTGGGTGGGTGAGGGTGAGGGGGTGAAGTGGGTGGTGGTGGGGTGGGTGGTGGTGGGGTGGGTGGTGGTGGGGTGGGTGGTGTGGGTGGGTGGGTGGTGGTTGGTGGGGTGGGTAGTGGTGGGGTGGGTGGGCGATGTGTGGAGCTTGAACCCAGGCTCTCAGTGTCTCTGACACGGCCAACGTGAACCCCCTGAGAGACACCCAGACCCAGGGCTTGAACCCAGACTCTCAGTGTCTCTGACACGGCCATCGTGAACCCCCTGAGAGAGAGAGAGACACCCAGACCCAGGGCTTGAACCCAGACTCTCAGTGTCTCTGACACGGCCATCGTGAACCCCCTGAGAGAGAGAGAGACACCCAGACCTAGGGCTTGAACCCAGGCTCTCAGTGTCTCTGACACGGCCATCGTGAACCCCCTGAGAGAGAGAGACACCCAGACCCAGGGCTTGAACCCAGGCTCTCAGTTTCTCTGACACGGCCATCGTGAACCCCCTGAGAGAGAGACACCCAGACCCAGGGCTTGAACCCAGGCTCTCAGTGTCTCTGCCACGGCCATCGTGAACCCCCTGAGAGAGAGACACCCAGACCCAGGGCTTGAACCCAGGCTCTCAGTGTCTCTGCCACGGCCATCGTGAACCCCCTGAGAGAGAGAGAGACACCCAGACCCAGGGCTTGAACCCAGACTCTCAGTGTCTCTGACACGGCCATCGTGAACCCCCTGAGAGAGAGAGAGACACCCAGACCCAGGGCTTGAACCCAGACTCTCAGTGTCTCTGACACGGCCATCGTGAACCCCCTGAGAGAGAGAGAGACACCCAGACCCAGGGCTTGAACCCAGACTCTCAGTGTCTCTGACACGGCCATCGTGAACCCCCTGAGAGAGAGAGAGACACCCAGACCCAGGGCTTGAACCCAGGCTCTCAGTTTCTCTGACACGGCCATCGTGAACCCCCTCAGAGAGAGAGACACCCAGACCCAGGGCTTGAACCCAGACTCTCAGTGTCTCTGACACGGCCATCGTGAACCCCCTGAGAGACACCCAGACCCAGGGCTTGAACCCAGGCTCTCAGTGTCTCTGACACGGCCATCGTGAACCCCCTGAGAGACACCCAGACCCAGGGCTTGAACCCAGGCTCTCAGTGTCTCTGACACGGCCATCGTGAACCCCCTGAGAGAGAGAGAGAGAGACACCCAGACCCAGGGCTTGAACCCAGGCTCTCAGTGTCTCTGACACGGCCATCGTGAACCCCCTGAGAGAGAGAGACACCCAGACCCAGGGCTTGAACCCAGGCTCTCAGTGTCTCTGCCACGGCCATCGTGAACCCCCTGAGAGAGAGACACCCAGACCCAGGGCTTGAACCCAGGCTCTCAGTGTCTCTGACATGGCCATCGTGAACCCCCTGAGAGAGACCCCCAGACCCAGGGCTTGAACCCAGACTCTCAGTGTCTCTGACACGGCCATCGTGAACCCCCTGAGAGAGACCCCCAGACCCAGGGCTTGAACCCAGACTCTCAGTGTCTCTGACACGGACATCGTGAACCCCCTGAGAGAGAGAGAGACACCCAGACCCAGGGCTTGAACCCAGACTCTCAGTGTCTCTGACACGGCCATCGTGAACCCCCTGAGAGAGACACCCAGACCCAGGGCTTGAACCCAGACTCTCAGTGTCTCTGACACGGCCATCGTGAACCCCCTGAGAGAGAGAGAGAGACACCCAGACCCAACGCTTGAACCCAGACTCTCAGTGTCTCCGACACGGCCATCGTGAACCCCCTGAGAGAGAGAGACACCCAGACCCAGGGCTTGAACCCAGACTCTCAGTGTCTCTGACACGGCCATCGTGAACCCCCTGAGAGAGAGAGACACCCAGACCCAGGACCCAGGCTCTCAGTGTCTCTGACACGGCTATCGTGAACCCCCTGAGAGAGACACCCAGACCCAGGGCTTGAACCCAGGCTCTCAGTGTCTCTGACACGGCCATCGTGAACCCCCTGAGAGAGAGAGACACCCAGACCCAGGGCTTGAACCCAGACTCTCAGTGTCTCTGACACGGCCATCGTGAACCCCCTGAGAGAGAGAGAGACACCCAGACCTAGGGCTTGAACCCAGGCTCTCAGTGTCTCTGACACGGCCATTGTGAACCCCCTGAGAGAGAGAGACACCCAGACCCAGGGCTTGAACCCAGGCTCTCAGTTTCTCTGACACGGCCATCGTGAACCCCCTCAGAGAGAGAGACACCCAGACCCAGGGCTTGAACCCAGACTCTCAGTGTCTCTGACACGGCCATCGTGAACCCCCTGAGAGAGAGAGACACCCAGACCCAGGGCTTGAACCCAGGCTCTCAGTGTCTCTGACACGGCCATCGTGAACCCCCTGAGAGAGACACCCAGACCCAGGGCTTGAACCCAGGCTCTCAGTGTCTCTGACACGGCCATCGTGAACCCCCTGAGAGAGAGAGACACCCAGACCCAGGGCTTGAACCCAGACTCTCAGTGTCTCTGACACGGCCATCGTGAACCCCCTGAGAGAGAGAGACACCCAGACCCAGGGCTTGAACCCAGGCTCTCAGCATCTCTGACACGGCCATCGTGAACCCCCTGAGAGAGAGAGAGAGAGACACCCAGACCCAGGGCTTGAACCCAGGCTCTCAGTGTCTCTGACATGGCCATCGTGAACCCCCTGAGAGAGAGAGACACCCAGACCCAGGGCTTGAACCCAGACTCTCAGTGTCTCTGACACGGCCATCGTGAACCCCCTGAGAGAGACCCCCAGACCCAGGGCTTGAACCCAGACTCTCAGTGTCTCTGACACGGACATCGTGAACCCCCTGAGAGAGAGAGAGAGACACCCAGACCCAGGGCTTGAACCCAGACTCTCAGTGTCTCTGACACGGCCATCGTGAACCCCCTGAGAGAGACACCCAGACCCAGGGCTTGAACCCAGACTCTCAGTGTCTCTGACACGGCCATCGTGAACCCCCTGAGAGAGAGAGACACCCAGACCCAGGACCCAGGCTCTCAGTGTCTCTGACACGGCCATCGTGAACCCCCTGAGAGAGACACCCAGACCCAGGGCTTGAACCCAGGCTCTCAGTGTCTCTGACACGGCCATCGTGAACCCCCTGAGAGAGAGAGACACCCAGACCCAGGGCTTGAACCCAGGCTCTCAGTGTCTCTGACACGGCCATCGTGAACCCCCTGAGAGAGAGAGACACCCAGACCCAGGGCTTGAACCCAGACTCTCAGTGTCTCTGACACGGCCATCGTGAACCCCCTGAGAGAGAGAGAGACACCCAGACCTAGGGCTTGAACCCAGGCTCTCAGTGTCTCTGACACGGCCATTGTGAACCCCCTGAGAGAGAGAGACACCCAGACCCAGGGCTTGAACCCAGGCTCTCAGTGTCTCTGACACGGCCATCGTGAACCCCCTGAGAGAGACACCCAGACCCAGGGCTTGAACCCAGGCTCTCAGTGTCTCTGACACGGCCATCGTGAACCCCCTGAGAGAGAGAGACACCCAGACCCAGGGCTTGAACCCAGACTCTCAGTGTCTCTGACACGGCCATCGTGAACCCCCTGAGAGAGAGAGAGAGAGACACCCAGACCCAGGGCTTGAACCCAGGCTCTCAGCATCTCTGACACGGCCATCGTGAACCCCCTGAGAGAGAGAGAGAGAGACACCCAGACCCAGGGCTTGAACCCAGACTCTCAGTGTCTCTGACACGGCCATCGTGAACCCCCTGAGAGAGAGACACCCAGACCCAGGGCTTGAACCCAGGCTCTCAGTGTCTCTGACATGGCCATCGTGAACCCCCTGAGAGAGAGAGACACCCAGACCCAGGGCTTGAACCCAGACTCTCAGTGTCTCTGACACGGCCATCGTGAACCCCCTGAGAGAGACCCCCAGACCCAGGGCTTGAACCCAGACTCTCAGTGTCTCTGACACGGACATCGTGAACCCCCTGAGAGAGAGAGAGACACCCAGACCCAGGGCTTGAACCCAGACTCTCAGTGTCTCTGACACGGCCATCGTGAACCCCCTGAGAGAGACACCCAGACCCAGGGCTTGAACCCAGACTCTCAGTGTCTCTGACACGGCCATCGTGAACCCCCTGAGAGAGACCCCCAGAGTTCTCACCGCCTGTGCGTAGGCGTTGAGGGACAGCTGCAGGATGCGTGGGTCCTGGGCCGTCACGAAGAACAGTGAGAAATACGCGTTGCCCAAGATGTCTGGGGGAGGAGCAGACATGACGACAGCATGTGACAGCACGTGACGGCACAGCACGTGACAGCACGTGACAGCACAGCACGTGACAGCACATCACATCACCATCGTCACCGTCACCATCGTGACCATCAGCACACCATCACCATCGTCATAGCCACATCACACCACATCGTCATAACCACATCATACCACATCACACCACATCACACCACATCGTCATAGCCACATCACACCACATCACATCGTCATAGCCACATCACACCACATCACATCACACCACCACATCACACCACATCACATCACACCACCACATCACACCACACCACATCACACCACACCATCACACCACAGCACATCACACCACATCGTCATAGCCACATCACACCGCATGACCCAACTACGAGCACGGTGACGTCGCCGCGGCCGCCTGTGCCAGGCTAGGTGCACTTTGAGGTCGCTACGTGAAGTGGCGAAAGCTCTCGCTGGTGGCAGGAGGAGGTCACGTGACAGACCCAGCAGGTGACGTGGGTTGACTGCTGTGCCAGGCTAGGTGCATGAGGTCACGGGACAGACCCAGCAGGTGCCATGGGCTGACTGCTGTGCCAGGCTAGGTGCAGGAGGAGGAGGTCACGTGACAGACCCAGCAGGTGCCATGGGTTGACTACTGTGCCAGGCTAGGTGCAGGAGGAGGTCACGGGACAGACCCAGCAGGTGCCATGGGTTGACTACTGTGCCAGGCTAGGTGCAGGAGGAGGAGGTCACGTGACAGACCCAGCAGGTGCCATGGGTTGTGGCTGACTGAGATGACCGGTAGATGCACCACCACCAGCTGTACCCCATACCCGCATCACGACACGCTCACCCACTCACCCACCCACCCTCACCACTCACCCACCCACCACTCACTGACTCACCCACCCACCCACCCTCACCACTCACCGCCACCACTCACCACTCACTCACCCACCCACCCTCACCACTCACCAACCCACCACTCACCCACCCACCCACCACTCACCCAACCAGCTACCCTCACCGTCACACACCCTCATCCACCCACCAACTCACCCTCACCACTCACCCACCCACCACTCACCCACCCACCCACCACTCACCCTCACCACTCACCCACCCACCCACCACTCACCCTCACCACTCACTCACCCACCCACCACTCACCCTCACCACCCACTCACCCTCACCCACTCACCCACCCCACCCACTCACCCACCCCACCCACCACTCACCCTCACCACGCACTCACCCACTCACCTACCCACCACTCACCCACCCACCCACTCACCCACCCCACCCACCCACCCACCCCACACCCACCCACCCACCCCACCCACTCAACCCCACCCCACACCCACCCTCGCCACCCACGCTTACACCACGAGGTGCCGTCCCCGGTGTCCATGGCGACGGCGTCCTTGGCGTGTGCCACGCTGTCCATGATGAGCCGTGCCGGATCCTGCCGCCGCCGCTGCTCTGAGCTTGGCTGCTGCCGCAGCAGCATGGACAGGCTGCGCAGGGACACCTTGTTCCGGCACTGCCGGGGCGGGCGGGGAAAAGCGGAGACACGGCGGCGGTGGTGGTGGTGGTGACGGTGGTGGTGGTGACGGTGGTGACGGTGGTGGTGGTGGTGGTGGTGACGGCGGTGGTGACGGTGGTGACGGTGGTGGTGGTGGTGACGGTGGTGGTGGTGACGGTGGTGGTGGTGACGGTGGTGGTGGTGACGGTGGTCGTGGTGACGGTGGTGGTGGTGACGGTGGTCGTGGTGACGGTGGTGGTGATGACGGTGGTGGTGGTGACGGTGGTGGTGGTGACGGTGGTGGTGGTGACGGTGGTGGTGGTGACGGTGGTGGTGGTGACGGTGGTGGTGATGACGGTGGTGGTGCTGGTAGTGACGGTGGTGGTGACGGCGGCGGTGGTGACGGTGGTGGTGGTGACGGTGGTGGTGGTGACGGCGGCGGTGGTGGTGGTGGTGACGGCGGCAGCGGCAGCATGGACAGGCTGCACAGGGACACCTTGTGCCGGCACTAGACTCGTCACTAGTCACTAGACTAGTCACTAGTCACTAGACTAGTCACTAGTCACTAGACTAGTCACTAGTCACTAGACTAGTCACTAGACTCGTCACTAGTCACTAGACTCGTCACTAGACTCGTCACTAGACTCGTCAATAGTCACTAGACTAGTCACTAGACTTGTCACTAGACTCGTCAATAGTCACTAGACTTGTCACTAGACTCGTCACTAGACTCGTCACTAGTCACTAGACTAGTCACTAGACTCGTCACTAGACTCGTCACTAGACTCGTCAATAGTCACTAGACTAGTCACTAGACTCGTCACTAGACTCGTCACTAGTCACTAGACTAGTCACTAGTCACTAGACTAGTCACTAGTCACTAGACTAGTCACTAGACTCGTCACTAGTCACTAGACTCGTCACTAGACTCGTCACTAGACTCGTCAATAGTCACTAGACTAGTCACTAGACTTGTCACTAGACTCGTCACTAGACTCGTCACTAGTCACTAGACTAGTCACTAGACTCGTCACTAGACTCGTCACTAGACTCGTCAATAGTCACTAGACTAGTCACTAGACTTGTCACTAGACTAGTCGCTAGTCACTAGACTCGTCACTAGTCACTAGACTCGTCACTAGTCACTAGACTCGTCACTAGTCACTAGACTAGTCACTAGACTCGTCACTAGTCACTAGACTCGTCACTAGACTCGTCACTAGACTCGTCAATAGTCACTAGACTAGTCACTAGACTCGTCACTAGACTCGTCACTAGACTCGTCACTAGTCACTAGACTAGTTACTAGACTAGTCACTAGACTCGTCACTAGACTCGTCACTAGTCACTAGACTAGTCACTAGACTCGTCACTAGACTCGTCACTAGACTAGTCACTAGTCACTAGACTAGTCACTAGACTCGTCACTAGACTCGTCACTAGACTCGTCACTAGTCACTAGACTAGTCACTAGACTCGTCACTAGACTTGTCACTAGACTAGTCACTAGTCACTAGACTCGTCACTAGACTAGTCACTAGTCACTAGACTAGTCACTAGTCACTAGACTCGTCACTAGTCACTAGACTCGTCACTAGTCACTAGACTCGTCACTAGACTCGTCACTAGCCACTAGACTAATCACTAGACTCGTCACTAGACTAGTCACTAGACTCGTCACTAGTCACTAGACTCGTCACTAGACTCGTCACTAGACTCGTCACTAGACTCGTCACTAGTCACTAGACTAGTCACTAGACTCGTCACTAGACTCGTCACTAGACTCGTCACTAGTCACTAGACTAGTTACTAGACTAGTCACTAGACTCGTCACTAGACTCGTCACTAGTCACTAGACTAGTCACTAGACTCGTCACTAGACTTGTCACTAGACTCGTCACTAGTCACTAGACTCGTCACTAGACTCGTCACTAGACTCGTCACTAGTCACTAGACTAGTCACTAGACTCGTCACTAGACTTGTCACTAGACTCGTCACTAGTCACTAGACTAGTCACTAGACTCGTCACTAGACTTGTCACTAGACTCGTCACTAGTCACTAGACTCGTCACTAGACTCGTCACTAGACTCGTCACTCGTCACTAGACTAGTCACTAGACTAGTCACTAGACTAGTCACTAGACCCGTCACTAGTCACTAGACTCATCACTAGTCACTAGACTCGTCACTCGTCACTAGACTAGTCACTCGTCACTCGTCACTAGACTAGTCACTAGACTAGTCACTAGACTCGTCACTAGACTCATCACTAGTCACTAGACTAGTCACTAGACTAGTCACTAGACTCGTCACTAGACTCGTCACTAGTCACTAGACTAGTCACTAGACTCGTCACTAGACTTGTCACTAGACTAGTCACTAGACTCGTCACTAGACTAGTCTAGTGACTAGTCTAGTGACTAGTCACTCGTCACTAGTCACTAGACTAGTCACTAGACTAGTCACTAGACTCGTCACTAGACTAGTCTAGTGACTAGTCTAGTGACTAGTCACTAGACTAGTCACTAGACTAGTCACTAGACTAGTCACTAGACTAGTCACTAGACTCATCACTAGTCACTAGACTAGTCACTAGACTAGTCACTAGACTCGTCACTAGACTCGTCACTAGTCACTAGACTAGTCACTAGACTCGTCACTAGACTAGTCTAGTGACTAGTCTAGTGACTAGTCACTCGTCACTAGTCACTAGACTAGTCACTAGACTAGTCACTAGACTAGTCACTAGACTAGTCACTAGACCCGTCACTAGTCACTAGACTCATCACTAGTCACTAGACTCGTCACTAGACTCGTCACTAGTCACTAGACTAGTCACTAGACTCGTCACTAGACTCGTCACTAGACTCGTCAATAGTCACTAGACTAGTCACTAGACTCGTCACTAGACTCGTCACTAGTCACTAGACTAGTCACTAGTCACTAGACTAGTCACTAGTCACTAGACTAGTCACTAGACTCGTCACTAGTCACTAGACTCGTCACTAGACTCGTCACTAGACTCGTCAATAGTCACTAGACTAGTCACTAGACTTGTCACTAGACTCGTCACTAGACTCGTCACTAGTCACTAGACTAGTCACTAGACTCGTCACTAGACTCGTCACTAGACTCGTCAATAGTCACTAGACTAGTCACTAGACTTGTCACTAGACTAGTCGCTAGTCACTAGACTCGTCACTAGTCACTAGACTCGTCACTAGTCACTAGACTCGTCACTAGTCACTAGACTAGTCACTAGACTCGTCACTAGTCACTAGACTCGTCACTAGACTCGTCACTAGACTCGTCAATAGTCACTAGACTAGTCACTAGACTCGTCACTAGACTCGTCACTAGACTCGTCACTAGTCACTAGACTAGTTACTAGACTAGTCACTAGACTCGTCACTAGACTCGTCACTAGTCACTAGACTAGTCACTAGACTCGTCACTAGACTCGTCACTAGACTAGTCACTAGTCACTAGACTAGTCACTAGACTCGTCACTAGACTCGTCACTAGACTCGTCACTAGTCACTAGACTAGTCACTAGACTCGTCACTAGACTTGTCACTAGACTAGTCACTAGTCACTAGACTCGTCACTAGACTAGTCACTAGTCACTAGACTAGTCACTAGTCACTAGACTCGTCACTAGTCACTAGACTCGTCACTAGTCACTAGACTCGTCACTAGACTCGTCACTAGCCACTAGACTAATCACTAGACTCGTCACTAGACTAGTCACTAGACTCGTCACTAGTCACTAGACTCGTCACTAGACTCGTCACTAGACTCGTCACTAGACTCGTCACTAGTCACTAGACTAGTCACTAGACTCGTCACTAGACTCGTCACTAGACTCGTCACTAGTCACTAGACTAGTTACTAGACTAGTCACTAGACTAGTCACTAGACTCGTCACTAGACTCGTCACTAGTCACTAGACTAGTCACTAGACTCGTCACTAGACTTGTCACTAGACTCGTCACTAGTCACTAGACTCGTCACTAGACTCGTCACTAGACTCGTCACTAGTCACTAGACTAGTCACTAGACTCGTCACTAGACTTGTCACTAGACTCGTCACTAGTCACTAGACTAGTCACTAGACTCGTCACTAGACTTGTCACTAGACTCGTCACTAGTCACTAGACTCGTCACTAGACTCGTCACTAGACTCGTCACTCGTCACTAGACTAGTCACTAGACTAGTCACTAGACCCGTCACTAGTCACTAGACTCATCACTAGTCACTAGACTCGTCACTCGTCACTAGACTAGTCACTCGTCACTCGTCACTAGACTAGTCACTAGACTAGTCACTAGACTCGTCACTAGACTCATCACTAGTCACTAGACTAGTCACTAGACTAGTCACTAGACCTCGTCACTAGACTCGTCACTAGTCACTAGACCTAGTCACTAGACTCGTCACTAGACTTGTCACTAGACTAGTCACTAGACTCGTCACTAGACTAGTCTAGTGACTAGTCTAGTGACTAGTCACTCGTCACTAGTCACTAGACTAGTCACTAGACTAGTCACTAGACTAGTCACTAGACTAGTCTAGTGACTAGTCTAGTGACTAGTCACTAGACTAGTCACTAGACTAGTCACTAGACTAGTCACTAGACTAGTCACTAGACTCATCACTAGTCACTAGACTAGTCACTAGACTCGTCACTAGACTCGTCACTAGACTCGTCACTAGTCACTAGACTAGTCACTAGACTCGTCACTAGACTAGTCTAGTGACTAGTCTAGTGACTAGTCACTCGTCACTAGTCACTAGACTAGTCACTAGACTAGTCACTAGACTAGTCACTAGACTAGTCACTAGACCCGTCACTAGTCACTAGACTCATCACTAGTCACTAGACTCGTCACTCGTCACTAGACTAGTCACTCGTCACTCGTCACTAGACTAGTCACTAGACTCGTCACTAGACTCATCACTAGTCACTAGACTAGTCACTAGACTAGTCACTAGACTCGTCACTAGACTCGTCACTAGTCACTAGACTAGTCACTAGACTCGTCACTAGACTTGTCACTAGACTCGTCACTAGTCACTAGACTAGTCACTAGACTCGTCACTAGACTTGTCACTAGACTCATCACTAGTCACTAGACTCGTCACTAGACTCGTCACTAGACTCGTCACTCGTCACTAGACTAGTCACTAGACTAGTCACTAGACTAGTCACTAGACCCGTCACTAGTCACTAGACTCATCACTAGTCACTAGACTCGTCACTCGTCACTAGACTAGTCACTCGTCACTCGTCACTAGACTAGTCACTAGACTAGTCACTAGACTCGTCACTAGACTCATCACTAGTCACTAGACTAGTCACTAGACTAGTCACTAGACTCGTCACTAGACTCGTCACTAGTCACTAGACTAGTCACTAGACTCGTCACTAGACTTGTCACTAGACTAGTCACTAGACTCGTCACTAGACTAGTCTAGTGACTAGTCTAGTGACTAGTCACTCGTCACTAGTCACTAGACTAGTCACTAGACTAGTCACTAGACTAGTCACTAGACTAGTCTAGTGACTAGTCTAGTGACTAGTCACTAGACTAGTCACTAGACTAGTCACTAGACTAGTCACTAGACTAGTCACTAGACTCGTCACTAGACTCATCACTAGTCACTAGACTAGTCACTAGACTAGTCACTAGACTCGTCACTAGACTCGTCACTAGTCACTAGACTAGTCACTAGACTCGTCACTAGACTAGTCTAGTGACTAGTCTAGTGACTAGTCACTCGTCACTAGTCACTAGACTAGTCACTAGACTAGTCACTAGACTAGTCACTAGACTAGTCACTAGACTAGTCACTAGACCCGTCACTAGTCACTAGACTCATCACTAGTCACTAGACTCGTCACTCGTCACTAGACTAGTCACTCGTCACTCGTCACTAGACTAGTCACTAGACTCGTCACTAGACTCATCACTAGTCACTAGACTAGTCACTAGACTAGTCACTAGACTCGTCACTAGACTCGTCACTAGTCACTAGACTAGTCACTAGACTCGTCACTAGACTAGTCTAGTGACTAGTCTAGTGACTAGTCACTCGTCACTAGTCACTAGACTAGTCACTAGACTAGTCACTAGACTAGTCTAGTGACTAGTCTAGTGACTAGTCACTAGACTAGTCACTAGACTAGTCACTAGACTAGTCACTAGACTAGTCACTAGTCACTAGACTAGTCACTAGTCACTAGACTAGTCACTAGACTAGTCACTAGACTAGTCACTAGTCACTAGACTAGTCACTAGTCACTAGACTCGTCACTAGACCCGCGTCCGCTCACGTGGGCCAGCGCCCCCTCGAGGCAGCTGGTGGCGGCGGCGACGTCGCCCTTCTTCCAGTAGACGTCGCCCAACTCGTTCCAGGCGTGGACGAGCGCCGGGCGCAGCTTGACGGCACGCGCCAGCGCCTCCTCAGCCTCAGCCACGTAGTCCGGCACGACGTTCAGCGCGCGGCCGCGGAGGGCCAGGAAGCCCGCACGGTCACCGCACTCCGCTGGGGTCCGGCGAAGGGAGGCGGTGAGCAATGGGCGGGCGAGGTGCACACAGTAGAGAGACCCACAGACTACTCAGAGACCCACAGACTACTCAGAGACCCACAGACTACTCAGAGACCCATAGACTACTCAGAGACCCATAGACTACTCAGAGACCCATAGACTACTCAGAGACCCATAGACTACTCACACAGAGACCCACAGACTACTCAGAGACCCACAGACTACTCAGAGACCCATAGACTACTCAGAGACCCATAGACTACTCAGAGACCCATAGACTACTCAGAGACCCACAGACTACTCAGAGACCCATAGACTACTCAGAGACCCACAGACTACTCACACAGTAGAGACCCATAGACTACTCACACAGTAGAGACCCACAGACTACTAAGAGACCCACAGACTACTCACACAGTAGAGACCCACAGACTACTCAGAGACCTACAGACTACTCAGAGACCCACAGACTACTCAGAGACCCACAGACTACTCAGAGACCCACAGACTACTCAGAGACCCACAGACTACTCAGAGACCCACAGACTACTCAGAGACCCACAGACTACTCAGAGACCCATAGACTACTCACACAGTAGAGACCCACAGACTACTCAGAGACCCACAGATTACTCACACAGTAGAGACCCACAGACTACTCACACAGTAGAGACCCACAGACTACTCACACAGTAGAGACCCATAGACTACTCACACAGTAGAGACCCACAGACTACTCACACAGTAGAGACCCACAGACTACTCACACAGTAGAGACCCACAGACTACTCACACAGTAGAGACCCACAGACTACTCACACAGTAGAGACCCACAGACTACTCACACAGTAGAGACCCACAGACTACTCAGAGACCCACAGACTACTCAGAGACCCACAGACTACTCACACAGTAGAGACCCACAGACTACTCAGAGACCCATAGACTACTCACACAGTAGAGAGACCCACAGACTACTCAGAGACCCACAGACTACTCAGAGACCCATAGACTACTCACACAGTAGAGACCCACAGACTACTCACACAGTAGAGACCCACAGACTACTCACACAGTAGAGACCCAGACTACTCACACAGTAGAGACCCATAGACTACTCACACAGTAGAGACCCATAGACTACTCACACAGTAGAGACCCACAGACTACTCACACAGTAGAGACCCATAGACTACTCACACAGTAGAGACCCACAGACTACTCACACAGTAGAGACCCACAGACTACTCACACAGAGACCCATAGACTACTCACACAGTAGAGACCCATAGACTACTCACACAGTAGAGACCCACAGACTACTCACACAGTAGATAACCACAGACTACTCACACAGTAGAGACCCACAGACTACTCACACAGTAGAGACACACAGACTACTCACACAGTAGAGACCCACAGACTACTCACACAGTAGAGACCCACAGACTACTCACACAATAGAGACCCATAGACTACTCACACAGTAGAGACCCATAGACTACTCTCACAGTAGAGACCCACAGACTACTCACACAGTAGAGACCCATAGACTACTCACACAGTAGAGACCCACAGACGACTCACACACAGTAGAGACCCACAGACTACTCACACAGTAGAGACCCACAGACTACTCAGAGACCCATAGACTACTCACACAGTAGAGACCCACAGACTACTCACACAGTAGAGACCCACAGACTACTCAGAGACCCACAGACTACTCACACAGTAGAGACCCACAGACTACTCAGAGACCCACAGACTACTCACACAGTAGAGACCCACAGACTACTCACACAGTAGAGACCCACAGACTACTCACACAGAGACCCACAGACTACTCACACAGTAGAGACCCACAGACTACTCACACAGTAGAGAGACCCACAGACTACTCACACAGTAGAGACCCACAGACTACTCAGAGACCCATAGACTACTCACACAGTAGAGACCCACAGACTACTCACACAGTAGAGACCCACAGACTACTCACACAGTAGAGAGACCCACAGACTACTCACACAGTAGAGACCCATAGACTACTCAGAGACCCACAGACTACTCAGAGACCCACAGACTACTCAGAGACCCACAGACTACTCAGAGACCCACAGACTACTCAGAGACCCACAGACTACTCAGAGACCCACAGACTACTCAGAGACCCACAGACTACTCACACAGTAGAGACCCATAGACTACTCACACAGTAGAGAGACCCACAGACTACTCACACAGTAGAGACCCACAGACTACTCACACAGTAGAGAGACCCACAGACTACTCACACAGTAGAGACCCACAGACTACTCACACAGTAGAGAGACCCACAGACTACTCACACAGTAGAGACCCATAGACTACTCAGAGACCCACAGACTACTCAGAGACCCACAGACTACTCAGAGACCCACAGACTACTCAGAGACCCACAGACTACTCAGAGACCCACAGACTACTCAGAGACCCACAGACTACTCAGAGACCCACAGACTACTCAGAGACCCATAGACTACTCACACAGTAGAGACCCACAGACTACTCACGCAGTAGAGACCCACAGACTACTCACACAGTAGAGACCCACAGACTACTCACACAGTAGAGACCCATAGACTACTCACACAATAGAGACCCACAGACTACTCACACAGTAGAGACCCACAGACTACTCAGAGACCCACAGACTACTCACACAGTAGAGACCCATAGACTACTCACACAGTAGAGACCCACAGACTACTCACGCAGTAGAGACCCACAGACTACTCACACAGTAGAGACCCACAGACTACTCAGAGACCCACAGACTACTCACACAGTAGAGACCCACAGACTACTCAGAGACCCATAGACTACTCACACAGTAGAGACCCATAGACTACTCACACAGTAGAGACCCACAGACTACTCACACAGTAGAGACCCACAGACTACTCAGAGACCCACAGACTACTCAAACAGTAGAGACCTACAGACTACTCACACAGTAGAGACCCACAGACTACTCAGAGACCCATAGACTACTCACACAGTAGAGACCCACAGACTACTCACACAGTAGAGACCCACAGACTACTCAGAGACCCATAGACTACTCACACAGTAGAAACCCATAGACTACTCACACAGTAGAGACCCACAGACTACTCACACAGTAGAGACCCACAGACTACTCACACAGTAGAGACCCACAGACTACTCACACAGTAGAGAGACCCACAGACTACTCAGAGACCCATAGACTACTCACACAGTAGAGACCCATAGACTACTCACACAGTAGAGACCCACAGACTACTCACACAGTAGAGACCCACAGACTACTCACACAGTAGAGACCCACAGACTACTCACACAGTAGAGACCCATAGACTACTCACACAGTAGAGACCCACAGACTACTCACACAGTAGAGACCCACAGACTACTTACACAGTAGAGACCCATAGACTACTCACACATTAGAGACCCACAGACTACTCACACAGTAGAGACCCACAGACTACTCACACAGTAGAGACCCACAGACTACTCACACAGTAGAGACCCACAGACTACTCACACAGTAGAGACCCACAGACTACTCACACAGTAGAGACCCACAGACTACTCACACAGTAGAGACCCACAGACTACTCACACAGTAGAGACCCATAGACTACTCAGAGACCCACAGACTACTCAGAGACCCACAGACTACTCAGAGACCCACAGACTACTCAGAGACCCACAGACTACTCAGAGACCCACAGACTACTCAGAGACCCACAGACTACTCACACAGTAGAGACCCATAGACTACTCACACAGTAGAGAGACCCACAGACTACTCACACAGTAGAGACCCACAGACTACTCACACAGTAGAGAGACCCACAGACTACTCACACAGTAGAGACCCACAGACTACTCACACAGTAGAGAGACCCACAGACTACTCACACAGTAGAGACCCATAGACTACTCAGAGACCCACAGACTACTCAGAGACCCACAGACTACTCAGAGACCCACAGACTACTCAGAGACCCACAGACTACTCAGAGACCCACAGACTACTCAGAGACCCACAGACTACTCAGAGACCCATAGACTACTCACACAGTAGAGACCCACAGACTACTCACGCAGTAGAGACCCACAGACTACTCACACAGTAGAGACCCACAGACTACTCACACAGTAGAGACCCATAGACTACTCACACAATAGAGACCCACAGACTACTCACACAGTAGAGACCCACAGACTACTCAGAGACCCACAGACTACTCACACAGTAGAGACCCATAGACTACTCACACAGTAGAGACCCACAGACTACTCACGCAGTAGAGACCCACAGACTACTCACACAGTAGAGACCCACAGACTACTCAGAGACCCACAGACTACTCACACAGTAGAGACCCACAGACTACTCAGAGACCCATAGACTACTCACACAGTAGAGACCCACAGACTACTCACACAGTAGAGACCCACAGACTACTCACACAGTAGAGACCCACAGACTACTCAGAGACCCACAGACTACTCAAACAGTAGAGACCTACAGACTACTCACACAGTAGAGACCCACAGACTACTCAGAGACCCATAGACTACTCACACAGTAGAGACCCACAGACTACTCACACAGTAGAGACCCACAGACTACTCAGAGACCCATAGACTACTCACACAGTAGAAACCCATAGACTACTCACACAGTAGAGACCCACAGACTACTCACACAGTAGAGACCCACAGACTACTCACACAGTAGAGACCCACAGACTACTCACACAGTAGAGAGACCCACAGACTACTCAGAGACCCATAGACTACTCACACAGTAGAGACCCATAGACTACTCACACAGTAGAGACCCACAGACTACTCACACAGTAGAGACCCACAGACTACTCACACAGTAGAGACCCACAGACTACTCACACAGTAGAGACCCATAGACTACTCACACAGTAGAGACCCACAGACTACTCACACAGTAGAGACCCACAGACTACTTACACAGTAGAGACCCATAGACTACTCACACATTAGAGACCCACAGACTACTCACACAGTAGAGACCCACAGACTACTCACACAGTAGAGACCCACAGACTACTCACACAGTAGAGACCCACAGACTACTCACACAGTAGAGACCCACAGACTACTCAGAGACCCATAGACTACTCACACAGTAGAGACCCACAGACTACTCACACAGTAGAGACCCACAGACTACTCACACAGTAGAGACCCACAGACTACTCACACAGTAGAGACCCACAGACTACTCACACAGAGACCCATAGACTACTCACACAGTAGAGACCCACAGACTACTCACACAGAGACCCATAGTTTGTTGTCCTTCCACCGCACCTCCAATTAGCACGGTTGGCTACGTACGGTGAAAAAGAAGTTCAACGTACACACACACACAGGCGTGCGAGGCGAATGAGTGGATGAGCGAGTGAGTGGATGGGTGAGTAGGTGAGTGGATGAGTGAGTGATTGAGCGAGTGAATGAGTGGATGAGTGAGTGAGTGAGTGGATGAGTGAGTGAGTGAGTGGATAAGCGAGTGAGTGGATGAGCGAGTGCATGGATGAGCGAGTGAGTGGATGAGCGACTGAATGCGTGGATGAGTGTGTGCCTGAGCGAGTGAGTGGATGAGCGAGTGATTGAGCGAGTGAGTGGATGAGTGAGTAGGTGAGTGGATGAGTGAGTGGATGAATGATTGAGTGAGTGTATGAGTGAGTGAGTGGATGAGTGAGTGAGTGGATGAGCGACTGAATGCGTGGATGAGCGACTGAATGCGTGGATGAGCGACTGAATGTGTGGATGAGTGAGTGATTGAGAGAGTGAGTGAGTGGATGAGTGAGTGAGTGAGTGGATGAGCGAGTGAGTGGATGAGCGACTGAATGCGTGGATGAGCGACTGAATGCGTGGATGAGTGAGTGATTGAGCGAGTGAGTGAGTGGATGAGTGAGTGAGTGAGTGGATGAGCGAGTGAGTGGATGAGCGAGTGAGTGGATGAGCGACTGAATGAGTGGATGAGTGAGTGGATGAGCGAGCGAGTGAGTGGATGAGCGACTGAATGCGTGGATGAGCGACTGAATGACTGCGTGCCTGAGCGAGCGAGTGAGATGACCGAGTCACTGGATGAGTGGCGTTTCGAGCGAGCGAGCGAGCGCCCGGCAAAGCCGCTAGCCGCTAGCCGCCGCCGCAGGACGCTCCCGCACGCACAACAACAACAACACCCCCCACACCCCCGTCCGGGACTCGAACCTTCGAGCTCCGCCAGAAGGCGCAGGGCCTCCGTCCTGCGCGATTCCACGCGGCTGCCCTTGAGCCCCGCTTCGTGAAGGCCGTGCTGCTCAAAGTAGCGGTCCCGGAACGCGTACAGAGCCTCCACCTCCTCCTGCAACACAGACAAAGGTCCCCCGTGTAGCCTCTAGCAGGGCTGTAGGGGCAAGTGCTGTTAGTAGCAGCAGCAGTGCCTCTGTAGACACACAGACAAAGGCCCCCCGTGTAGCCTCTAGCAGGGCTGTAGAGGCAAGTGCTGTGAGTAGTAGTAGCAGCAGCAGCAGCGGCGGCGGCGGCTCCTATAGGCACACCCGCTCGCGTAGAGAAGTGAGGCCATGTGTCCGCGGGCCGAGAAGACCCGAAGCTTTGTGCGGGACGCGACAGACCGGGCAGCTTCCACGCGGCAGGGTTAGGCAGCCGACGGTGGAGACAAAATTGTCCCTCCCTCGCTCTCGAACGTTTCTAACCGGCGCAAAACGGTTACCGGTTCTGCTGTCAGCCCGTCACGGTTTTGCAGCGTATGCTCGCGCGGGGGGAAAACTTTTAGTGTAAGTCAGGTCCACAGGGCGTTAACAGCCCGTTTCGGCAGGGGCGAAACTCAAATTAATGATGCGTCTACGTGGCTGTGTTTCTCCCCCTGCGATGTCGGGGCTTTGTAGGATGAAGATCGAGCTGTATAAGGGGCACCATGGGTGGTGACCGATGAGGTCTGAATTGGTCTGTAATAAGGTAGGGCACTGATAAGGGGTTAACAGGTATGGTGTAGTGTGTAGTAGTGTAGTGTAGTGTGTAGTGTAGTGTGTAGTAGTGTAGTGTATAGTAGTGTAGTGTATAGTGTAGTGTGTAGTAGTGAAGTGTATAGTGTAGTAGTGTATAGTGTAGTGTGTAGTAGTGTATAGTGTAGTGTGTAGTAGTGTAGTGTATAGTAGTGTAATGTATATTAGTGTAGTGTATATTAGTGTAGTGTATAGTGTAGTGTATAGTGTAGTGTGTAGTAGTGTAGTGTATAGTAGTGTAGTGTATAGTAGTGTAGTGTATATTAGTGTAGTGTATATTAGTGTAGTGTATAGTGTAGTAGTGTAGTGTATAGTAGTGTAGGGGTGCTATGGGGAATAAACACATGGCACGGGAAGGTGTGGTTCACCCACACCTTGGTGGCTACAACAACGTCCGCTAAGGCTCCAGTGGGTATAAAGTGCGGTGGGGAGCCAGGGAGCTCGGGGCAGAGTGTGGGGCCCGAGGCTGAAGCAACCAGTGAAGAAAGAAGGCCGGCTAGGCGAGACCCTGGGACTCCTGTGACCGCTGCCCCTTTCAGGACCGGCACAGCAAGCCAGTGGTGCGGCCCCAGAGCCCCAGAGTCAGAGGCCTTCTAAGGGCCGGTCTGGTCGGCGTGGTGCCGAGATCTGTGCCTAACCAGGGCCGGATCTGAAAGCCTCCCTTAGAGCCCTACCAGGAGGAACTGGGAGCCTACAGCTTAGGCTAGAGAGCCTGGGGTGTGTTCCTGAGTTATACGGGTGGAGGGGCCGCTACCCCTTCTAGAGTAACCCTTGTTAAGGTTTAAATAAATAGTGCTGCTTCTATTCTGCCGTCTCCGTGTCCTGGAACCCACTACAGTAGTGTAGTGTATAGTGTAGTGTATAGTAGTGTAGTGTATAGTGTAGTGTATAGTAGTGTAGTGTATAGTAGTGTAGTGTGTAGTAGTGTAGTGTATAGTAGTGTAGTGTATAGTAGTGTAGTGTGTAGTAGTGTAGTGTGTAGTAGTGTAGTGTATAGTAGTGTAGTGTATAGTAGTGTAGTGTATAGTAGTGTAGTGTATAGTAGTGTAGTGTGTAGTAGTGTAGTGTAGAGTAGTTTTAGTGTATAGTGTAGTGTATAGTATAGTGTATAGTAGTGTAGTGTGTAGTAGTGTAGTGTATAGTATAGTGTAGTGTATAGTGTAGTGTATAGTAGTGTAGTGTATAGTAGTGTAGTGTATAGTGTAGTAGTAGTAGTGTATAGTAGTATAGTGTAGTGTATAGTGTAGTGTAGTAGTATTGTATAGTAGTGTAGTGTATAGTAGTATAGTGTATAGTAGTGTATAGTGTATAGTAGTGTAGTGTATAGTAGTGTAGTGTATAGTAGTGTAGTAGTATAGTGTAGTGTATAGTAGTGTATAGTGTAGTAGTAGTAGTATAGTGTATAGTAGTGTAATGTATAGTGTAGTGTATAATGTAGTGTATAGTGTAGTGTATAGTGTAGTGTATAGTGTAGTGTAGTAGTATAGTGTAGTAGTAGTGTATCGTGTAGTGTAGTAGTATAGTGTAGTAGTAGTGTATAGTGTAGTGTATAGTGTAGTAGTATAGTGTATAGTGTAGTGTAGTAGTATAGTGTATAGTAGTGTAGTGTATAGTGTAGTGTATAGTAGTGTAGTGTATAGTGTAGTGTATAGTAGTGTAGTGTAGAGTAGTGTAGTGTATAGTGTAGTGTATAGTGTAGTGTATAGTGTAGTGTAGTAGTATAGTGTATAGTAGTGTAGTGTATAGTGTAGTGTATAGTGTAGTGTAGTAGTATAGTGTATAGTAGTGTAGTGTATAGTGTAGTGTATAGTGTAGTGTAGTAGTATAGTGTAGTGTATAGTGTAGTGTATAGTGTAGTGTACAGTCGCGTGTTGTGCAGGGCATGAACGTGGAGCTCTTCGAGCTCACCGCAGGGCCAGGCGAACTCACCGTGGCCCTCTGCATCGCAGACTTCTCCCCAGGGGCAAGAGCGGCGGCGGCGTCGCCCGTGGCAACCGCGGCGGCGGCGTCGCCCGTGGCAACCGCGGCGGCGGCGTCGCCCGTGGCAACCGCGGCGGCGGCGTCGCCCGTGGCAACCGCGGCGGCGGCGTCGCCCGTGGCAACCGCGGCGGCGTCGCCCGTGGCGACCGCTGCGGCGATGGTCGATGCCGCCATCGCTGTCACGGGAGGACGGGAGTGACGCTTGCGGGGGTAACGGAAGTGGTCACGTGACGTCACGCAGCAGGCAACTGAGATTATTTTACGTCATGGCAACCGGGGTCGCTGTCATGGGCGTTGGTGGGGGTAAAGCGGAAGTGACGTTGGCTGGGGAAACGGAAGTGGCGGCGGCCGCCAAGTGATGGTGGGGGGAGGACGGAAGTGACGCTAGGTAGGAAAACGGAAGTGGTGACGTGACGCCACGCAGCGGTAATAAAAACAATTTGACGCCTTGGGCAACGGCGTCGGCGGTGGTGGATGGGGGGCACGGGGGGGGCACGGGGGGGGCACGGGGGGGGGGGGGGGCACGGGGGGGGGAGGGGGGCACGGGGGGGGGGAGGGGGGCACGGGGGGGGGGAGGGGGGCACGGAGGGGGAGGGGGCGCGAAAATGACGTAATTGCGCGCTCTCGATCGGAAGCTGGCGACGTGACGTCACGGTGGCGTAAGGGGGACGCGACCGTGCAGGGGCGGAAGTGACGTTGCCACCGGAAAGAAGTGAAATCACCGCCTGCCCAACAGCCTCGCACTCTCACACACGTGGTGGTGGTGGTGCCGCGTGGTTGTGGTGTTTGGTTGTGGTGTTTGGTGGTGGTGTTTGGTGGTGGTGGTGTTTGGTAGTGGTGGTGGTGCCGCGTGGTAGTGGTGGTGGTGTTTGGTAGTGTTGGTGTTTGGTGGTGTTTGGTGGTGGTGGTGGTGGTGTTGGTGGTGGTGTTTGGTGTTGGTTGTGTTGGTGGTGGTGGTGTTTGGTGGTGTTTGGTGTTGGTGGTTTCCCCTCGTGGGTCGAGCGCCATGGTGGTAACGCGCGCGCAGTCGCGCGGGGGCGGAGGAAGCCGCGGCATCGGTAGCGATGGAGGCGGTGGAGGAGGAGGAGGCGGAGGAGGTGGAGGAGGCGAAGTTGGAGTCGAGGCGGCAGCGTCTCGCGACCAGGCGAGTCGCGCGCGTTAATTCGGTGCATTGTGTGCGTGCGTACTGTACATACAGTACAGGCGGAGTGAACTGTACGTACAGTGCGCTCTGCGGCGGGCACTCTGCTCACGGCGCGATCCGCGCACTGTACGCGCGGTGCGGACAGCGCGTACAGTGTGTACAGTGCGTACTGTTTGTGCAGTGCGTACTGTACGTGTACACTGTTATGTTTGTGCTTGCACTATGTGTGTAGTGTAGTGTATAGTAGTGTAGTGTATAGTGTAGTGTATAGTAGTGTAGTGTATAGTAGTGTAGTGTATAGTAGTGTAGTGTATAGTAATGTAGTGTATAGTAGTGGAGTGTATAGTAGTGTGTGTAGTGTATAGTAGTGTGTGTAGTGTATAGTAGTGTAGTGTATAGTAGTGTGTGTAGTGTATAGTAGTGTAGTGTATAGTAGTGTAGTGTATGTGTGTAGTGTATAGTAGTGTAGTGTATAGTAGTGTAATGTATAGTATATAGTAGTGTAGTATATATTGTAGTGTATAGTAGTGTAGTGTATAGTAGTGTATAGTGTAGTGTATAGTGTAGTGTATAGTAGTGTAGTGTATAGTAGTGTAGTGTATAGTAGTGTAGTGTATAGTAGGGTAGTGTATAGTGTATAGTAGGGTAGTGTATAGTAGTGTAGTGTATAGTAGTGTAGTGTATAGTAGTGTAGTGTATAGTAGTGTAGTGTATAGTAGTGTATAGTGTAGTGTGTCGTGTGTAGTGTATAGCAGTGTAGTGTGTGTAGTAGTGTAGTGTATAGTGTATAGTAGTGTAGTGTATAGTGTAGTAGTGTGTAGTGTTTAGTAGAGTAGCGTATAGTAATGTAGTGTATAGTGTAGTTTATAGTGTAGTGTATAGTGTAGTGTATAGTGTAGTGTGTGTAGTGTATAGTTGTGTAGTGTGTAGTAATGTGTGTAGTAGAGTAGTGTATAGTGTAGTGTAGTGTATAGTGTAGTGTATAGTGTAGTATATAGTTGTGTAGTGTTTGTGTTCTTAACATTGCGCGTTGTTTCACGATCGTGAACCAAGAGGGTGTTGCAAAGGCTGCAGTAAAAGGTTAAGAACCACCGGTGTAGTGTATAGTGTAGTGTAAAATGTAGTGTAGTATATAAGAGTGTAGTGTGTAGTGGATGAATGAATGAGTGGATGAATGAGTGGGTGGACGAATGAGTGGGTGGACGAGTGAATGGGTGGACGAGTGAGTGGGTGGACGAGTGAGTGGGTGGACGAGTGAGTGGGTGGACGAATGAGTGATTGAACGAGTGTGGTGGGTGGACGAGTGAGTGGCTGGACGAGTGAGTGGCTGGACGAGCGAGTGGGCGGACGAGTGAGTGAGCGGGCTGGACGAGTGGGTGGACGAGCGAGCGGGTGGACGAGTGAGTGGGTGGACGAGCGAGTGGCTGAACGAGTGAGTGGGTAGACTAATGAGTGCGTGGACGAGCGAGTGGGCGGACGAGTGAGTGGCCGGACGAGCGAGTGGACGAGCGGGCGGACGAGCGAGTGGGCGGACGAGCGAGTGGGCGGACGAGCGAGCGGGTGGACGAGCGAGCGGGTGGACGAGTGAGTGGCCGGACGAGCGAGTGGGTGGACGAGCGAGTGGGTGGACGAGTGAGCGGGTGGACCAGTGAGTGAGTGAGTGGGCGGGTGAGCGAGTGGCCGGACGAGTGAGTGGCTGGACGAGTGAGTGGCTGGACGAGTGAGTGGCTGGACGAGCGAGTGCGTGGACGAGTGAGTGAGCGGGTGAGCGAGTGGACGAGCGAGCGAGGGGGAGATGGGGACACGTCCACGCCAGTTAACGCCCCCCCCCTCCCCATCGTTCCATTCACCGCAGCTGCCCCCCCGTGCCGACCGGGCGGCTTCGGAAGAGGTGGACGAGGTGAGGAGGAGCAAGCCGGCGCCGAAGCTCGGAGCCAAGAGACTCGCGACGAGGAGGAAGCCGTCGGAGCTCCGTCGTCCGGAGCTCCTCGACAGTGACGACGACGACGACAGTGATGACGTCAGTGATGACGATGGTGATCATGATGACGTCAGTGATGACGACGGCGATGACGACGTTGATGACGACGTTGATGACGACGGCGATAACGACGACGGTGATGACGACGCCGCCAATCTCCTCTTCGCCATCGACCGCACGCCCGGCCGCGGCGACGACGGCGGCAAGGAGGAGGAGGTGGAGGAGGTGGAGGAGGAGGAGGAGGAGGTGGAGGAGGAGGAGGTGGTGGAGAGGAAGACACCGCGGCCCATGGTTGGGACACGGAAGGTCGAGGGTTTGAAACTGCTGGTTGACGATCACCATGACGACGATCACCATGACGACGACGATGACGACGAGGTGAACCCCACCTCGTCGGAGGCCGGAGTCGCCCCCCCCGACCTCGGCGGCGGCGAGCGCCAGGAGCGTGGTGGTGGTGATGGTGGACGAGGTGGTGGTGGTGGTGGTGATGATGATGGTGGACGAGGTGGTGATGGTGGACGAGGTGGTGGTGGACGAGGTGGTGGTGGCGATGGTGGCGAGCACCAGGAGCGAGCGGCGTTCGTCATCGACCGCACGCCCGGCCACGGGGGCGGCGGCGACGTCACCGCCGGCGACGACGAGGACGAGGAGGAGGAGGTGGAGGAGGAGGAGGTGGAGGAGGAGGAGGGGCAGGGGGTGGTGGTGGTGGAGGAGGAGGAGGAGGTGAGGAGGCTGCTGAGGAAGAGGGCGGCCTTCATGAGCAAGGGGATGAAGAAGAAGGTCAAGGTGCAGAGGTGAGGGGGGGGGGGTTGGGGGGGTGGAGGAGGGGGGGGGGAGGGGGAGGGGCTGCTCACGACAAGCAGCACTTGCCCCAACAGTCTGTAACAGGCTACACGGGGGATCTTTGTCTGTGTCTGTTCACAGTCTGGACCCTGGCATTGAGCTGTTCAAGTATGGAGGATCCTACCTGGGTGGAGCCTCCAGCAAACACACAGTGCGCCCGGCACTCACAGACTCGGTGAGTGTGTGTGTGTGTCTATGTGTGTGTGTCTGTGTGTGTGTGTGTCTGTGTGTGTGTCTGTGTGTGTGTGTGTGTTTGTGTGTCTCTGTGTGTGTGTCTCTGTGTGTGTGTCTCTGTGTGTGTGTCTCTGTGTGTGTGTCTCTGTGTGTGTGTCTCTGTGTGTGTGTCTGTGTGTGTCTCTGTGGGGAGCGGTAGTGTAGCGGTTAGCGCGCTGCGCTATGAACCTGGCGACCCGGGTTCGATTCCCGCTCACGGACAACACCAGTGACGATTATCTGAACCGGTCCCGGGCCTCCCCTAGGTCGACTCAGCCTCAAATGAGTACCTGGTGCGGTGTGTAAACATTGCCACTAGGGAGACAAAGGCGGTCGGGCGTGGTGCTGGCCACCCACCCCCTCGTGTACCGTTCCGGCCTTCATAGGTGCTCGCTAACAGCACTTGCCCCAACAGTCTGTTAAGGCTATATGGAGGATCTTTGTCTTTGTTTGTTTTGTCTCTGTGTGAGTCTCT